TTGGAGCCCCTTATTCAGCAGGGCCCCGGCCTGACCCCCAGCTGCAGTGGCAAAAACATCGTGTGGGAGGAGGAATCATTCCCACGCAGCCAGGCAGAGGCTGTGAGCTAGGGAGCTGCTGTAAAAGCAAGGCTCCAGCTTGAATCCTTGCAGTATCACTGTCCCAAGGAGGAAACACCCGAGCATTGGCTAGATGAATTTTTACTACACTCTATATGTAATATTCCTCACTATTGGGAGAACACATGCTGTCTGGCACGGCTGTGTGATCGAGGGGAACAGGCATCACGTTGTGCTTTTAATGATCTGGGAATAAAGAGAGGGCTATTTTCGTTCCATTCTTTCCCAGCCTTGCCAGAATCCCTGAATGATTTGTGGGGAGGGGGTTCCGGTCCTTCCTGCGGTCCCAAGTATCTTCAGCCTGCCGTAATGCCCTGTCACTGGTTATGTTGCAGGGTGCTGGAGCTGAAGCTCTTACTGTCCAATCGGTCTCAGGCTCCTGCGCTGACGTGGGTGAGGCCAGAGTTCTGCGAACCAGGAGAAGTGCTCGCTTCAGGAAGAGGAGGCGGCGGACGTGAGAGAAGCATAGGGAGAAATGTGTTAGTAACTCCACTCTGAAGCCGTTATTTCTCACTCGAGGAAAGAGACCTGGAGAGGCACTTGTGTGAGGCACAGCTTAGAAATAGCTGGGGAATCGTGACTCCAGGCCTATAGCAATGGTTTGAAACAGGCCTCTCTCGCCTTCACTGTGGGCATGCAGGTCTGAAGTCACTTCTTTAGCCATGAGCAGTAAAGACCATAATTACAAGGCATGCTACATTTATACAATGCTTTTGTCAGGGTTCCCTCCCCACTCTGAACTCTGGGGTACAGATGTGGAGACCTGCATGAAAGACCCACTAAACTTGTGTTCCACTAGCTTAGGTTAAAAACTTCCCCAAGGCTCAAATTCCTTTCCTTGTCCTTGGATGGTATTACTGCCGCCACTAAGTGATTTAACAAACATTCAGGGAGGGGCCACTTGGAGTCCTATCTCTCTCTCCCCCCTCCCCCCAAAAAAATCCCCCAAGCCCCTTCATACCCTTGGGTTTTTAGGACACTAAAAACCCATCAGGTTCTTAAAAGAAGAACTTTATTATAAAGAAAAAAGTAAAAGAAGCACCTCTGTAAAATCAGGATGGAAGGTAATTTTACAGGGTAATAAAAAGATTTAAAACACACAGGATTGTCCCCTAGGCTCAACTTCAAAGTTACAAAACAGGAATAGTATCAGAGGGGTAGCCGTGTTAGTCTGGATCTGTAAAAAGCAACAAGAGTCCTGTGGCACCTTATAGACT